AGCGAGGTCGCTCGATATTGACATAGGAGAGGTCTATTGGCTCTGGATATCCGCCCTCCTATCGCCTCGGTGTACGATAAGATCCCAAGTGGACGTGAGCCGGTTGTAGGCTAAAGTCCTCCTGTTCCGCTGCAGAGATCGCTTGGTCCAGCGATTCTAGTTCCAAGCGGAACAGGTGGGTCTTGACAGGACAATCTGTCAGACCCTTGATGAACACAGTAACGTGCGTGTGTTCATCGATTGGGTTGAGCACGATACAGCTATCGAGGTATCGTACGTGTTGGGCGTAAGCGTGTATATCACGCTTATCCTGTTTCAAATCCAGGAGCTCAGCCCGAGCCCTGCATTCGGCGCCAGGCGGTTCAAACGTGTGTTTGAGCCGCGCCTTGAAGACATCATACGTTGAATAAACGTATGGGTCGTGCAGTTTGAGCCCTACGGACCAAGCTTTGGCACGTCCTGCCAAGTTCGACATGGCGAACTTGACCTTCATCGCATCGTCATCGATGCGACGAGCCTCAATGGCATCGTCGAGCTCGACGAACCATCTTAACAAGAAGTCGCTTTCGACTGCCTTGTACTTGGAGACATCAATCTTCAAGGACTCGGGTCGACGTGTATACGTCGACCCGGCAGTAGCAGCACTAGCCTGCTGTTGTCTCAACAGTTCAGACTGTTGAGCACCCTGCTGCATCAACAAGTCAGCTTGTTGAGCGCCTTGTTCTCTCAACAGTTCAACCTGCTGAGAACCTTGCTCCTCTAGCAAGGTGAGTTTCTTTACAACTTCGTCAAGATCATGTTGTATGAACTTGGCGATGGTTGCGTGTTGGTCGTCTCCGCTAAGAGAGAGCAACATGGCACCAACGGCAGGGTTGCCGATGGTTTCAGCCATATTCTGAACCGCATTCCATTCGAGATCACTTAAATGGCAAAAATTATCATATGCTGATTCCCATAGCGGTTGGTGCAGTGGTCGCTGAACAGACCACGAAGTGTTACCAGGTGTAAAGAGCCATACTGATAGCGGTATAGTCTACTTTTACTGATGAAAGTTAAAGCAGGTGCTTTAGAACCTTTCTCACACAAAGAGGCAGAGGAAGCTTATCAACTCAACAAGTGCTTAGTTGAGAAGGAAAAGATAACTGTATTTAATATAGCTAAACTATCTAGAAAGGCTAAATCATCAATAAACTTGACTTAACTATATTAAACGTTTGGATCTGATAGCGAAACTAGGGGAAGAATTATCATTTGTGGCGACTCCAACCTAGTGATTCGACAGATGCGGGATGAAATCGATTGCAAGGCTCCTGGACTGCAGTTGCTACGACAGAAAGCAATGGAGAAGCTTCGATCATGGCCGATCCATGAGTTCTTACATATGAAGCGCGACTGGAACCAAAGTGCAGATCGACTGGCGAGTACTTCTTTGCAGCAGGAAAAAGTGTGATCATCACTTCGGGAAGGAGATCGCCAAGATCTCATTAACCTCAATAGACTGGATGAGTTGTTGAAGTCGAAGCATACCGAATCGATGGTTAATGCTGCTGCGATTACCAGATCAACTAGGAGAAGACGTCAACCACCCGAGATTTTGCAAGTAGAATTTGTGCAGCATATGCGAAGTGAACGTATACGACAAGCTCAAGATGAGGAATGTTGGATCGCTAACCTAAAGATTTTTCTAATCGGTGATATAAAAATTTCAGTATGGAAGAAGCGAAGTTATGCGCCAAGATTGCAAGTAATTACGAAGTGGATGAAAGCAATCTTCGATTTTTTTGCCCAAGAGCTGTGAGAAATTCGGAAGATCGCGATGAAATTGCTCGTTTGGTGATGCCAGAAACTCTTCAGCAAGATAATCTGCATCACTACCATGCCAGTCTGGATGGATGGAACCAGGAGATCGGCAGGACGTATCAACGGATCCGATCTCGTTTTCATTGGAGAGGCTTGTATCGCAGTGTACAACGATATGTGAGCGAATGCACTGACTGCGAGACTGGAAAAGGACGTCTTGTTATTAATGGAGAGTCTCCGGGAAATTTACAAGCTACTTATCCGTTCCAGATTATTGCCATGGATCATATTCCATCGCTGCCTAGATCTTTTAAAGGCAACACTGAATTATTGGTCTGGGTCGATCTATTTGCGGGCTATGTGGTTTCCAAGGCGAGCAAATCTAGAACATCTCAAACGATCGCCTAGAATTACGAGGAGTGTGTCTTTCGACGATTCGGTGCGAGTGAAGCGATACGGCACGATCGGAAACCTACATTTATGTCAGATTTTTTCCGTGCGTTCAATCGACTTATTAAGCAAAAGCAAAGAGCGACCATGGCATATCGCCCTCAAGCAAGTGGGAATGCTGAACCTATGGTTCAGACATTAACCCGAGAGATTTGTTATATTACCGATAAGAAAAATCTTTAGGTTAGCGATCCAGCATTCCTCATCTTGAGCTTGTCGTATACGTTCACTTCGCATTCGCTGCACAAATTCTTCTTGCAAGATCTCGGGTGGTTGACGTCTTCTCCTAGTTGATCTGGTAATCGCAGCAACTTTAACCACCGATTCGGTATGCTTCGACTTCAACAACTCATCCAGTCTATTGAGGTTAATGAGATCTTGGCGATCTCCTTCCGAAGTGATGACCACACCTTGTTCCTTCTGTAAAGCAGTACTCGCCAGTCGATCTGCACTTTGGTTCCAGTCGCGCTTCATATGTAAGAACTCATGGATCGGCCATGATCGAAGCTTCTCCATTGCTTTCTGTCGTAGCAACTGCAGTCCAGGAGCCTTGCAATCGATTTCATCCCGCATCTGTCGAATCACTAGGTTGGAGTCGCCACAAATGATAATTCTTCCCCTAGTTTCGCTATCAGATCCAAACTTTATAGTAAATCCCGATATTCAGCTTCGTTTACTGTCAAGTCCGTTGTATGCTCCGACGCAGCGGCCACAATAGTCCACTCGGGAAGTTTCCATATTATCGCACTGTATGATCAACCCTTTCGCTTGGTTCGTGTCGATCCATCGAAACTGGCGACCAAAAGACTTTCATCTTCTTCCACCGTAGGCGGTGGCATACTTAGAGTTTGCCTTGGCTGTTTCCGGGGAGCGATCGCGATCAACACTTCATCAACTTCTTCACGGGGAGTCACACTTGCAACCAGGGCACCAAGTATCTCATCTTTGCCCTTTTCACATTTCTTAATCTCCAACGTCCAAGTCGATAATAATGCGGCCCACCTACCTAGCCTGCCATTGATACCGGAGGATTGCACCAACCAGTCCATCGTCGAGAACCGCGTAAGAAATTTAATCTCTCGCGAGACCAGCACGCAATAACATATATCCAAAATCCGAAGTAAGGCTAGTATCTCCTTCTCGACCATTCCGTAATTGATTTCATTCGGCTTCAGCGTTCGGCTTGTAAACGTAACTGGCCAATATATACCATCATATTCCTGCAACAAAGCTGCTGAAACTGCCCATTTACTTGCATATACGACAGTTACCGGAAGCCTATTTGGATCGAAATGTTTAAGGATCGGGATATTAGCGATCTTGGCTTTCAACATGGTAAATGCGACATTGTTTTTTCCCATCGAGTCCGACCTTCTAGATCTGGATCGCCCCCAATATCGAACTTTTGATCTGAATCATTCCTGGTTGCGACAGTCGAATCCAATGCATTCATCTTATCAGAACAGCGGATTTCGTGGAAATCTGCTTCCCTTAATTCATATAGCACTGACGAATAGATCGCAAAGTCTTCGACAAATCGACTATAGTAATTCAAGCTTCCCAGAAACGATTGCATCGATCGCAACGTTTTTGGGAACGGAATGTTCACCAGCGATCCCAAATCCTTTTGGTGAGCTTCTTTTCCTGCAAGCGAGACTTGATGACCCAGGTAATCCACCTTACGTCGTCCCCAAAAACTCTTAGCGAGACTGATCGACAAATTCCATTCATTGCATACTTCTAGCAATCGCTTTTAGTTTATCATATAAGAAGATTCACGATTTTTCTGGTATCAATATGTCATCAATGTATGACCTTCGGCCAAGAACAGAAGGTTTCTGTCGTGTAGTGGGATTCGCAAAATTGCTAATGCGATTCCAACACTGGCGCCCGGACGAACGACTTACGGAGAGACGTTGCAAATAGAATGGAATACAGTGAATGGTGGTGCTCGCAGTTCTATGTTGAATTAACTATGGCCTAGAACTACGCAGCTGCGATCCTGATTTTTCGATGGCGATCCGCGTGCGAATTGGAAAGCCTAAGTATGTGGAAGACGGTCTGGTGTAGATCACGTCACTATGGAAGAGTGGAATGAGGTGGACATGACATATCACATAGATGGACCATTTCACATGATCCGAGGAACGGTGAAGGTGACAAGTTGTTGTCCGGCGGACCGCGATCCGATACAATATTGCGATCCGATACTACTTATTAGTACGCGATCCGATACTAAAATATATACCGCGATCCGATACTAAAATGGTATTAGATCCGATCGAGGTAGCGATCCAGATCGCGGCAATATTGGAGTGAACCACATTACAATATCTGATTTTTCCGAAAGGGTGATACGTGGCAATAGATCCTGGACTACAGATAGGCAGAATCATAGGTTTTGGTATTTGATTGGTTAACATTAACAGAGTTCAATTTTACTTCTAATACACGCGTCGACTTCTCTTCCGGACCTTGCGTTTTTAGTTAAACCTAGTGAATTAGATAATGAAGCTAAAAAATGTACCATAAGTTATAACAGGTAAGCTTAAGCTTGACGCAGCAAAAATCATCAGCACCTCTCTCTTTTGCTAAGTACTAAAACGCCATAAGTAAATTTCGGCCATATACGACGTAGCACATGCGTCAGCGCATGTCTGCTAATCTATGAATGCCCGCGTTTTTGTACCGTGCAGACCCCTTCGGCGAGTATTATGCTGTTTCAGACTCGAATTTGCAGCGTTTTAGGAATGGTGGCGGTCCCAGTTCAGCCGCCGCGCCAAGCTGCGCCACTGTCAGCAGAAGACCAGCTGAAATTCCAGGAGATGACCATGCAATTGCTGGACCGCACCTTACGAGACATGGATGAACATGACGCGGATCCTCGTTCGCACGACAAACAGGACCCTCGTGTGTGGAAGAGAATTCACCACAAAGAGCATTTTACCACGTACACGCGGTGCGATGACGCACCTGAAGCAGCCTACGTGGCGGCAGACGGCGGCCGTAGTACCACGTCTCGACCGTCCTGCTTGGTATGGGTTTTGTTCAATGTCCACTCAGTGAATTGATGTACGGCGTCTTTATGGGCAACAGCCAGGCGATGGCACTCAAGTCCGCCGTCGTGGACAAGAATATCGGCAATGGGGCTGTACTCAAGGAGCTCCTGGGGCCCACTGAGGAAGACCCGTTCCGATTTCTTGCGCTCAAGTGGATCGAGGTGCGGCCGCCTCGTGGCGTCTCTGGAAAGCTCGTGGCGCCCCGAGAAGTGATGTTCCTAGGAGGCACATGTACCATGAGACGTCGCGGTACGGGCGACTTTATCGGCTACGAGGTGCATCATTCGATTGACCACCCGGCTTTCCCTCCTGTGGACGGACTGCGACGCACGCGCATCGTTATCGGCTCCATCTATCGCGAACGACCCAACGGAACGGTCGACTTGTTTACCAAGAGCTACAGCATGGAGGCTGATATGGGCAGCATCCTTGGTCCTTTGGCCATGGCCCATGCGGCCAAGTGCATCGAGCAGGTTTGGACCGTGCCCGACTTTGCCTATGCCAAGAAACTGCGGTGGTGCATTGACCACCGCGTGCACAGCAACAACGCCAAGGCGCTCCAAGCCAAACTGGCTAAGCGCTGCGCCTCATGCGATAAGAGCGTGGCCACAATCTGGAAGTCTAGAGCGGCGTACCGCATCTGCAATCTGTGCAAGGCGCCGCTGTGTTCCAACTGCCGCGTTAAGAAAGATCTTTACGAAATTGACCCGTATTTTCGTGCTCGCAAATTCCCGGTGCGGATCTGCCCTCCCTGTCGGGGGTTCGTAAAGCTGCTGGACGCGAAGGAGATCCAGAGACAGGAAATGCTGCGACCTCAAAGCGCCGAAGCGGTTAACCCGTTGACGCCCAGCACGCTGGATGTGCTGGCACACAATTTCTCGCTGGACAATAGTTTCTGTACAGCATCAGTGGAGAGTTTGTGCATGATGGACTCGCCTCGTGCACGCTCCGACAGCGTTAAGACTGACTTACTACATTGAGGTAAACTTGTAGGAACTAGCTGAGAAAAAGCAGACAACTGTACGTGATAAATTTTTGTTCAGGATTTTGTGAAAAATTTGAGTTAATGCTTTCTTGTACAAGCGATTTCATTGATGAGATGAAGGTGCATTCAGCGACTCGATTGATCTTTGGAGTGAGTTTAGAAATGGATTTGGCCACCATGCTTAGATCCACCATTTGTGACCAAATTTGTTTACGGTGCTCACGGTCAGACAGCACCACTTCATCACGCTCGGAAATTCTAGCTTGAGATGTCTTGGCAAGCTCAGCGCCTCGAAACGAGTCGATGGGCGGATGTGCAGTCGGCGATAGTACAAAGAGTAAGTACCCTTCTTTTGCAGATAGTGGCAGTGAAGCTCACCGGGTATTCGTGAAAACTTCCAACAGCATTTGTCGCCAAAAACCAATCGGCCTACGTGCGATGTTCACGGATGCAAGGCGGTCGACTTGAAGCACACAACGGTTTAAATAAGCACGTCCTCCTGTCGAAGTTGCAGTTGGTGTTGACTTCTTTGAAAGTACAGGGAATTCGACAATTGGAGCAAGTGGTTCGAGACTCCGCACAGAAAAAGAAGGCGCTACTTACCTGTTAAACAAGTCGTTGGTGCACGTCACGCAGCTGCTTGAGAATAAAGCGAAAGAGGTTGGGGCCAGCGAGGAAATCGAGAAGCACTAAAAACGTTTGCGTAGTCCTGGTGTCTGCTATAGTAATGCTACTGCTAATGTGTAAACTTTTACTTGTAGAGACAGGCTTATGTTTTCCTTGACCTCCATCCAGCAGCTGACGGAGGCCTTACATAAATTTCTTGACGTTTGTGCACTCGACTGTATTTCAGGAGGTATAAATTCTGGTTACATAAGCAAAAAAAGCAAATCTCAATTTTAACCTTTACGTCGAGGTGTCGGCAACAATAGACGACGTCGCAACCATTTTCTGTTCGTGTCACCCAGATGCATGTATTGTACTACCTTACGGACTACTGAAGCGGAATGTGTACGTCGACGAGTTGTCGAAGAAAGCGGACAAACTACATCCCAAGAAGGCACTGAGTCCAAGTGGATGTTGAGGTAGCCGACTTCATTGAGGTCTGCTCGGTCTACACAACGACGTGACAGAAACACGATGTTACATACGCCAATACGTGATGCTGCAAACAACCTGACGATGAGTTCTTCAAAGATAATGAAAACTGCACCCTCGTGCATTCGCCACAATGGCAACGAAGACGCGGTGATGTCCGTCGCTATCAGTCACTCATGTACGAAAGGCTTCGTAGTCATATCGACTGCGCCCACGACTGCATGTGCGCTATCGTTTATGCATATACGTCATACATATTCAGCCGCAGCAATTGGCGAATACATAGACAACAACGATGGCTTTAGCGACTTGGGGGTAGATTGTAAAGGTCGAAGCTGACCTTAATGCAAGGAGATCAAAACTTTGACGATGCACCAACACCCTGGACTATCATGCGGCCGCTCCCTTTTTAAGTTGCGCTGTCTACCAAAGCACGCGCAGCGAGGAGAAAACCTACCTCGTTTTTTCTTACTTCACTATGGTATACTTCATCACAAAGCGAAGGGTGTCGGTACGTCGGTTGTCCGTTTGTCGCACTTGGCAAAGCTATGTATGCGCTAACAACGCGATGGTCAGAAAAGCAATGTAGAGATTTGACGTGATTCCAGGAATTCACCCGGGCTGGTGGAAGATTGTACGCATGCCCAATCTAGTGTCTTTTAGAACCTTGAGGGTCACGATCACGATCCTGGCAAACCAAACGCTTTATTTTTGTTGACAGAAATGACTGTCAATAGAATCTGCAAGCTTAGAAATTGTTTGTCATTTTGTAATACATGTAGCAAGGAATTTCTCAGTCAAGTCGTGTCGCGGTGGTGATAGCGTGCGTTTGCCGCGAGAGGCGGACTATCAAATGACAGCTGGTACAATAGTGGAAAAGTCGGCACGAAAAGGCGTTTTGTGCGTGGAGAGGAGGTATGTTTATGTAATTTAAACGTGAAAAAGAAGCTGAGAAGTTGGCGTCTCTCTCAACGTTTCTGCGTAATAAAGGTCTGCGCGCATTGTTTCCACTGATAAATGACTTTTCAAACGAATTCGGCGACGACGGAGGGCTCCTTCCTTGTGCATAAGCCTGACATAGTGGGCCAAGGTTAAGGTTAAGGGTGGGGGTAGGCGCCGTGGACGCGTTAGGACGACAGCGAAGCGTGTGACTTAGGTAACCGCATGATATCCAGGGTGTTGGGCTCCACCAACCTGAAAAACTAACTGTTGGAAATGGAAAGATGCACTCCCGCAGAAGTAGGTAGAAGAAAAAGTAAAATATATTGAGCAGTAGCTACTCTCGTTTTGTTAGTACTACAACATGCACTTCAGCGACTTGACCATGTCCTTGGCAGATAGTACTCCTCTTACCTACCCATCTCGTACCACATCACAGCCCTATCCCCCTGTCCCAACTGTCAAGGTGTTGGTAGTCCATTTATTAAGCTGTTGCCCTGTCTCTCCCTGCTTCATCTGCACGATCCTCTCCTCGTGGTTCCACATGTCAAGCTAGGTGACATCGTCCTCCATTTTAGCACGTGAATCTTAAAATTTGAAAAACCCGATGGTGTAATAACAGTAACCTGTCTACATTAACCTTCTGAAAAACAATATTAATCATCTCGAGCGGCTACAAGTTACTTTTTAACTGTCTTATATGGTAATCTCTATAAATATATAGAACTTGGCGTCCTCTAAGTATTAATTTAGACAGGCTATACTGAACCGCGAAGAGAATTCTCCATTCAGCACCGATCCAGAACAATCTGAACAAGTGAGAGTTAACCCGAAAAGCAGAGCAAGTCGACACCGCGCAAGAGGCCAGGGATTTGTCATGATGATGCCTGTTGGAATGCTACAGGACTCCCGGTTATGCGTCCAATGTCCTTGAAAGCAGATTGTGTGAGCAACCGGATAAGTGTGCGCATTTATAACCTCGGACTTATTGGACCTACTCACGGGGCGTCCAAGTATTGAGCCAGCCGAAAAAGGGAGCGAGGGGTAGAATCATTGCGTCATGGCACAACCATGAGATTTTTTTTTTGCACATAGTCAACACAAATACCAGCACCTTTCTATGTTTAGGGGAATTTTTTGCGATGAACGACACCCTCGCTCTCCCCGGTCGTCGATGCGATTAGCTCAGTCTCGAAATTGCAGCATCGAATACACCTCTACTTAAATACACCCACCAGCGCTACAAAATTACAATGGTGTCTCTGACGTCCATCCTAGCCATGACCACGTTTGTTGCCACGACCGTTGATTACGTTGAGGCACACGGCTACATTAGTAATCCTTTAGGCACATTCTTGAAACAGTATCATAAAAGCGACTGGGTTGCTCAAATTACTCCCCAGTGGAAGGCTGACTGGGATGGCTGTAAAACCTTTGAGGAAATTTTGGCGTTGTTCAACAAGCTAAAAGCTGCCAACAACTACAAAGATGTCCGATCGCTGATGGACGGTAACCCTCTATACGGCCCGAAGTGCGGTCACACGGATCCGAAGGGAAAGCCCGTGCCTATTCCTTCCAACGGCCAGGCCACCTTTTCTCGTCCTTTAATCCACGCTGGTCCGTGTGAAATATGGCTTAACAACAAGAGGGTGTTTTACAGCGATGATTGCCAGAGCAGCCACCCTGACGGCATTTTTAAGCCTGTGGATTACTCGATATGCGATCCAAATGGCTGCGTGTTTTACTTTTACTGGCTAGTGCTACAGCGAAAGGGTACGCAAACTGTGTGGCAGTCGTATATTAACTGTGCTAATCTCTTAGGCTCTTCCGGCGGCGGAGGTGACAATGACGTCTCTCAGGAGGAGCTTCCAGGGAACTCGAACGTTTCGCAGAACAACCCCGCCAGCAAGTCCAAGGATAATTCGGCAAACAAAAATGAGCCGAAGAAGTCGGACGAATCGAAAGACTCGAAGAAAGAGTCGAATGAATCGAAAGACTCGAAGAAGGAATCGAAAGACTCGACGAAAGAGTCTAATGAATCGAAAGACTCGAATGTCTCGAAAGACTCGAAGAAAGAGTCCAATGAATCGAAAGACTCAAAGAAGGAATCGAAAGACTCTTCAAAAGAGTCAAAGAAGGATTCAACCCAGACGCCTCCCGCTGGAGGAGACTCCTCTCAGACGCCTCCCGCTGGAGGAGACTCCTCTCAGACGCCTCCCGCTGGAGGAGACTCTTCTCAGACGCCTCCCGTTGGAGCGTCTCCCCAGACGCCCCCCCTGAGACACCGGGTTACTCAAGCGCTTCTTTGCCCGGCACACCCGCGATGACGCCTGCCCCAAACAGCAAATGCAAGGGCCGTCGTCGTCGACGTTACTAGACTCCCAAGGGAAGGAGGATACTAGCGTTGTTCTTTGCACTCCTGATTACCAAGATTGCACTAATATACGTGTACCGTACTGAGCTGAAAAAGCGCCAAAGTGTTTTTGCAGCAGAGAGAATAGCTTAGGAGAATGGCTATTAATTGAATGTCTTTGTATGTCATAAGCGTTTTTACATAGTGTTTTCGTTCTCAAAATTTGCATCTACATGCGCAGAGGTTGCCGGCAATTGAGACCTTCTGCTTTGAGGTCTATAGAATCTGCGCTGTGTAAAACTTAGATCGTATGTTTAAGGAGTTTTGCAAGTATCTAGAATCTGCATTGGAACTGCGACTGACGGAATTTCGTTCTTGCTTCCCGCTCATTTGCAAATACCTCTCAGCTCCTTACCAACCAGCAATGGTGACCATAACATCGTCATGGCTGCAACTTCGGCTATCGCCAGGCTGCAGACTACGTGCAAGCATTGTTACATCGAGAAAAAAGCAAATCCGAATTCAATACAGGAAGACGTCTGAATAAATCGTACACATTTTTTGGCAATGGATAGCCAACACGGACAGGCGAATGCAATGAAGGACTCGTAGCCGCCCACGCTGCATGTTCCACACCGCCTGTCGACAAGCTTTTTGCGATGTGCCTCTCCGCCAACTTGACTGAAAGAGGTACACATGTCAACACGTCTTGCTGTCACTGTGCTACTTCAGAGAGAGCCGGTGGAATCCCACCTGGCTCAAACACCTCGGAGGTTCCCCCATCAGCTTTGAATTCAGCTCCCACTTGCATATACTTTTGTAGTGTAGAATGGCTTCACAAGTTTTGCAGTACGTCGACGATGCGTTGTCTGTAAGGCCGCATGAAAACTGATCCGGTAATTCCAAGCTATACCTGTTGCAATCTCTCTTTATTGCACTCTCTCTGTAGCGTTCAGCTTTGCTATCTTTCTAGCGTCCAGCTATGCTTGGGAACATATCACAACAATACCGTAAGTACAAGCTCAAGTATTGTTGGTGGAAAGGCTTGCGGTGGCCGCGTGACTACCAGCATATCAATGAAATGTCGACATTGATGAAGAACTCCAAACATCATTCCAAACAACATGTCAATCGAACGACAGCACCCGTACTCACACAGTGTGCACAACGGCCTGTAAAAAATGAGTCTTTTTTATTGTAACGTTGCTGATACGGCATATGTCTTGGAACGACAGACAAAGCTAATCTCTTAGCATACCTTGTAATCAATGCTAATAGACTAAATAATGACCTGTGGTTTAATAGTGGTAACGGGGTTACACGACGGTTGTAACATCATACCGAAAGTTTACGGTTGAAGTTTCTTTATTGCATATAATGTATGCTTGATACTTTTCTTTAGAAAGGTATTAAGTATGAGCGTTAAAATACGGAATTCGGTAATACCGTATCTTATCGATTAGGTTCGATAATCGATAACGCTGTACTAAGTACATCATACACAGATGTTTAGGCGATACGTCGTCCAATAACAAAGTCTGCATATAATAATTACTTTTATGATAATTAATCTAGTGTAGGGTACTTAGAGTAGGACTATTCATAAAATCGTAATGCATAGATAAAATTAGTTCTTGTTTTCTTGTGCACTTTGTGCGTTAGTTATCTGAACCTATAAGCTTCTAGCTTGTTGTTTTTTGGTTTTTTTATTTGATAAAGTTATCCTACCATACCGATCCTAACATAGTCCTGTGCGTTGTCCCTAAATCAGATTGTCCCTGCTTACGCAGAGTCGCTCGCTCGACCGCCATCGTTTCGTCGTGCACGCTTTCGTACTCTGTAGTTTTCACCCTCAATGGGGCTTCTTCTCTTCGTGCTGGTGCGTGTCACTACGTGTGCTGTGGCGTCATCTTTTTGTAGGTATCGGATTTTTAGGTTGTCGTCGGTCGCTTCTGTGAGTGGGAAGTCTTAATCACTCATACTGTAGTCCCAAAGTACTAATTTGTTGTCACGTCCTGCAATCGTTTGCTGCATATCCATTGTAGACGGGCACTTCTATGAAGTTGCCTCTTACTACGAGCACACACCTTATGCACAAGCAAGGAAGCGGTTAGACCGTCTTACCTTCGCGTGCGAGGGTGGTTGGGAGGTTGGTCGACTGCTTAAGCAGTCGTACCACCAGTTGCCTCTCGCTTAAGCGAGAGTGCAACGAACTTCTTAACAAGAAGGCACCGACGTCACGCAGAAGCTTTTCAACTTCTCGTGGGTGGTGCGTATGTTTATGCAAATTCAAGACTGAGGTATATATAATGAATTATAATTCAATATAAACTTAACTACCGATTAACTATATATATAAACATATATATATAGATCGGATACGCGACTCTTTAGAAGCGTATCCTGACGCATGAGCTTAAATCTAGATTTAAGACCGCAACTGACGTCTTTCTGAGACGTCGCGATGCCTAGCTTCAACTAGCGTCATCCCTTCTCATGTGAATCCATAAATGGATATCACATTCACGAGGGTGGATCACATTTGTGTATCGCACTCAAGTGACAGGTTAAAAGTAATCATGAATACTTTTAGACCAAACATTAAGTAATATACTTAATGTTTACGTGTAACTAGTTGCCCTGTTACACCATCCCCCGTTTTGAACGATTTTTACATTTTGTAAAACATCGCCTAAGAGACAGAGAGACTTGCGAGCCGTTTATAAACGCGCTGCTTTAGTCTACTCAACTCTCATGCCACCGAAACGTGGTAAGGCTGATGGGTCGCCTGCAAAGGCACCCATGCAGTCCAGCACTAAGCGCACGCGCCGCGATTTATCGCAGCCGTCGCAGAGTGCGTCAGGTGTGGTGGAGTGGGATTCGCTAAATTGCTGATGCGATTCTAACTCTCCACTGGCGCGTGGACGACCGACTAACGGAGGGGGTACCCCGATTCCGTGTATAAAGCCTTCCTCACCTTGTGTACCCGTCGGTAGGGCGGGTTGCTCTCTTCTCGGTGGACTTGAGTCGATGTTGATCCTAATTTGGTTAGGGATAGGAGGTTTGGTTATCTTGTGGAAATCTTCACAAGATAAACCGAGTACTTGGTGTGATCTTCCCAATCGATCACGGTTATCCAATAAAACGAAGCTTGAATCTTCTGACCACTTGAGCAGAACCTTCTGACCACTTGATCCGTCCTGCACTTGCTTCGCCTTGCCCTACGTGTTTTATCTGCGTCCGATCGCAGTTGAGTTGTGTTGAGAGTTCTTGCAATCCCTGGCCAAACAATCCAGGGATATGACTTGCGTAGTGTGTAGGCTTCCTCGAGACGTCGGGTGGCCAAAGAATCCAGCCCGGAAGAGAAGTCGACACGTGTATTAGAAGTAAAATTGAACTCTGTTTAGTGTTAACCAATCAAAACTCGAAACCTACAATTCTGCCTATCTGTAGTCCAGGATCTATCACCACGTGTCACCCTTTAAGGAAAAATCAGATCTCAATATGTGGTCCACCCCAAATGCCTTTGCCGTCCCGATCCATCGGCGATCTTGCCTTATCCTTGGATCGCGATCCGAATCAGATCGCGTATCAGCTCAGGATCGCGGTCGATCCATAATGCGTAATCCTTGTGAGTTGGATCGCGATCTAGGTCGGATCGCGGACCTACGTTGTATCGCGATTCTGAGTCTGATCGCGGTCTACCTTGGATCGCGGTCTACCTTGGATCGCGGTTTACCTTGGATCGCGTTCAGCCTTGGATCGCGGTCCTGATTCGGATCGCGGTTCTGAGTCTGATCGCGGTATACCTTGGATCGCGGTCTACCTTGGATCGCGTTCAGCCTTGGATCGCGGTTCTGATTCGGATCGCGGTTCTGAGTCGGATCGCGGTTCTGAGTCGGATCGCGTTTTCCAAGTTGGATCGCGTTTTCTGCACAATGTTTCGGGATCGATCCTTGATGTGTGATCCACATAACTTGGATCGCGATCTACAATTTATGAAAATTGTTTACTCGCTCCTCCACAGTGAAATAACAGAATCACGGATCGCGGATCCACCTGAATACTAAGATTGCAGTGCGATCCAGACTTGGATCGCGGTGCTATCCAAACTCGATAGCGATACGATATGTATCTCGGATCGTGATTTGTCCATTACAATTAATTGAGGCCGCGATCCACACTTTGAGAAATTCCAATATTCCGCATTCAAGTAAAATCCGTGCAATTTTAATACATCCAGTTGGATCAACCGATACTGGAACCAAGTATATCCAAGCGGTGATCTATTCCATGATAATCCAATATAACATGGAAATATGATCCATGCCACGATCAACGGTACTTTTCCATTCGATCATCCATAAATTACGATCGACTTCACCACACCCAATAAGTCATTTTAGTAAGTGACTTAGTGGTGGAAAGGGATCCAACCGTTATGGGAAAGGGATCCAACCGTTGGCGAGAAAAGTCCCGATAATTCGGCTCCGGATTTATCGATAAAATTAATACATGGACTTAGCCAAAATTCCTAATCGACTTTACCACACAGGCACTGAGGTGAATCTTCCATCTCACGATAATGGGATGAAGATCCATCTCTCATTGTAGATTACAATGAGACTACGCCATTGCCATCACCCCAAAGTGGCGATGAGCATAGTGCATTGATGGGACATATGTCCCCATCATTTGAGGCACCCGTCCTTGAGGAAGCATCTATGCTTCCTACTAGCGGAGGTAAAACCCCGTCGTCTGCGCCTACGAGCGCAGCGACTAAGACTGAGCGCGCTACTTCAAAAGGAGTAGTCGCGACTCAGTCAGATGTAACTTCTCAAGCTGATGTCTTGACAATCCATAATGGAGAGTCAGACTCAGGTGAGTGTGAGCTTAAAGCTCCACCAAGTACACCGTCGGCCTCACTAGCCCGCCGTCGCGAGGGCGGTTACGTGAGTGGTGGCTTGCCACCAATGCCACCTCCATCTGAGTGGATGAACTCGGATGGGTCTAGTGCAGCGCTT